AGACACATGCACAGAGGGGCCTGTATTTCTCTGTGCGTGTTACAGCGGGAAGGCCCAGCAGTGGGTGCCGTTCCTGGCTTTCGATGCCCACCTGCATCTGGCTGGTTGAATGATCTGCTCCCAGCACTGTCTAGCAGGCTCTGGGCCCTGGGTTCAGTCCTCAGCACTGCAAGCAAATAAAGCCAAAACAAACAAATAACTAAAGCTCCCATTTCCAGAGCAGGCAAGACGCAGAATCCACACATTAGCCAAGTTCTGCCCCATTGCAAGGTTCCTGCCCTTTCTCCATTCCACTCTGAAATTTGGCCGGCTGCTGTGGTCTGCAGAGTGGGAGTGTTCGGGTGGAGAAGGAGAGGGCCTCACAGTGCCACTGGAATCACGGTCCCCGCACCTTCCAGCGTTCTCAGAGCCATGCACTGAGCTGAGTGCAAGTCACAGTGCTCCCTCCTGCCCCGAGTACCAGCACATTGTCAGGTTGCCTTGTGCTTCCACTGCTCCCGCAGGTGTGCTGGCCTCCCAGGTCGGCCCCGCTCTGCACCAGACACCTGGTGGAGCTGCCCTTCCCCACCTAATGAGCAAATGAGGCCCATGATGTGTCCTGGCCCATTTTGTGAGCAGCCCGGTCTATGTCTTTGCCCCACTGAGAACTCGTACTTTCCCTCCCACATGGGTAGAAGAAATGTTGGAAGTGGTGGCAGTTCTGTCATGTGCGTCTTGTGTGGCTGTGCTGGGCTGCCTCTTCGCTGGTGAGGTTACCCACATGGAGCAGCGTCTCCCTTTCCAGTTCACTGCCATGACTCAAGTGTACTCTTGCCCCACTGCTTGGCTCCACTCACGTTCTTCCATGGTCAGTGGGGTGTGGGACCTTCGGCACAGGAGTGTCTGTCTAGGGAAACGTCTGAGCAAGTTAGCCAGCTGGGAGAAGCAAAAAGGACTTTGGACGGTAAGCTGGCTGGAAGGACTGGGGATGGTTTGATCCTAACAAAAGAACCTATGACCGGAGTCATTACTCAGCGAGTTGGACAGAGCCATGTTTTCTATTTTGATTTTGGAACTGCGTGCTATCATACTATTTAAATTGTATTTTGAGGGAAGAAAAGACATAGCTGGGGATTTTAAAGATAGTATAAGATACTTTTCTGTGCAAATGATGTTAACAGAGGGCCTGCTGACACTCCTTTAGTAAGTAGCTAGTGGGATTTTTAGCTGGGTTAGATAATTTGGAACATGTCATTGGAGATAACTTCTGCCACCTTGTGGCAGTATTCCTTAATTGCAGATTCTTCTGAAGCCTAGGATTTATAGGTGAAATGCCTGTAAATCTTCTGAAATAATCTGCTGTTATTATTTAAGGGCCCATATGGCTGCCTGTGTGTCCTGAAATAAAAGACGCCTCAGATTCTAGTTTGAGTTTCTCCATATACATGAGCATCTCAGAAGGGAACAGTTTGGGGTGCTAGGTAGATATCAGAGTACCGTGTTGCCTTGTCATTGAATAGACTTCGGAGCCAACCTGCCAAATCCCTCGCTTCTGTGGCTCGGTGTAGGGATGTTTCTCCTTAGCCCATGGCCGCTCGGGATGCCTAACTTAAACACCATCCTCCCATATGCTGAGGATTGAACTTAGTGCTCTGACATGCCAGCAAGGGCTCCACCATTTGGATACATCAGTAGGCCCAGGACACATAACTTTGGTTTTATATTTGCTATGCTGGAGACTGAACCCAAGACTTTTGTGATGAGCGATATCCTCAGCCCATTTCTTTATTTTGAAACGATTTAGTTTTCACTAAGTTGCCTAGGCTGGGCTTCTACTTGTGTTCCTCCTGCCTCAGCCTCCCAGAGTGGTAGGATTATAGGATGCACCACTAATGTTGGCTTAATTTTTTTTTTTTTTTTGTGGCTGGCTCCATGGGGTTGGTGCAGCATGTGGTGCTGAGGATTGAACCGTGGTCTCTAGGCTTGCCTAAGCTTGCCTAAGCAGGCACTTTAGACTGCTGAGCTGTCTCGCTGGCCCCAATGCTGGCTTAATTTTTATATAAAGTTAATGCTGAAGTTGGCTGTTATATTCTTTTTGTCTTGATTTTAAGATCTGTGGCAATTTCTGAAAATTAAAATCTACCACAACCATAAAAGCTAGTTATATCCTCCAGTGTAGGTGTGTGTGCCCCAGATAGGCTCCACACTTTCCAAAGATCTGATTGACAGCTTTGCTGGTCTATAATTTAAAGTATAGTGCTGTGTCATTTGAAGTGTAGTTGGAGTTTAATGATCTAGAATGAGATGAAATGAGTCAGGTGTAGACCTGTGATGTAGGTGACATTCCTAGACTAACTGCCAGTGGTCAGTTGTCTTGTGAGTTGTTTTTTAAAGGGCTGATTACAGAAACATCAATCGCTTGTTTCTATAAATGATTTATAATGCAAATTGAATGCAATGAAATATTAAAAATACCATTCATTAAATATTGAAAAGTTCAGTCCCTGGAACTGGTCAGATCTCCCCATGGGCAATCTAGAAAGCTTAAATTATAAAATTAGAATCCTGGGGGAGGGGCTAGAAGTACAGCTGTGGAGTCATCCCCCCCCCCCCATTTCCTGGAAAGGCCTGCCACCTTTCCCACAAGGTGGCATATCACACATTCTGTTATTAGTCATGTGTCACATGACAGGCAGTTTGTACTGCTTTATGTTTTTTCATTCCTAATGGTTTAAATAAAGTCAATAAACTGATACTAAGTCGGGTTTTATGGATTCAAATGCTAGAATGTTTCATTATGCTTGTATTTTTATTAATAAAACCTTTTAAAGTATGGAAACAAATAGGGGTCAAATATTGTTGTTAATGACAAGTTAAAGTAAAGCCTGGTGTTTTTTTGTGTGTGTTTTTTTTTGGTGAAACTGGGTATTGAACCCAGGCCCTTGCACTTGCCAGGGAAGTGCTTATTCCACTGAGCCATCTCCCTGGCCCCCAAAGCCTGTTTTAAATGAGAGAGGGATGACAGACCTTAGGGTGTTCAGACTATGTCCTCCTGCAAACAGCTCACTTATCTCACGTCAGTCACACCAGGTTCATCCCAGCTGTCAGAACATGGTTTTCGAAAAAAGATACCTGGAAGCCAGGTGTAGTGGTGCATACCAATCCCAGCACTCTGAGAGGCTGAGGCAGGAGGGTTTAAGTTCAAGCCCAATCCTGGCAACTGACTCAGTGAGATCCTGTCTCAAAATGTAAAATAGGGCTGGGGATGACTCAGTGCAAAAGCCCTATGGTGAGTCCCCATTACCTGGAGAGGATGCAGAGGCTGGGCAGGTGGGGCGACGCCTGTCTCAGTGTACAGCAGAGCTGCCCTTTGTCCTGTGGAGCCCTGTGCAACCCTCAGCAGGGCCGCGTTTTCTGCAGTGCCTGAGAGGCCGTGTGCGCTCCCTGGGCCGACTGTGTTCGAGACAGTTTCCTCGGGCTCCATCATGGATAGTAAGAGCACATACTGCCAGCAGGGGTAGCAGCAAGAGCCCAGCTCTTCCCTGTTAAGCCAGCCCACCTGGAGGTTTGCAAGAACACAAGGGCCTTAACACGGAGTGCGGGTGTGCCTGTAGTCGCAGCTCCTCGGAGACAGGTTGGAGGATGGCCTGAGCCCAAGAAATTGAGGCCAGCCTGGGGGGCTGCGTAGTGAAACCCTCTCTCAAAACACAATTCCACTTTTCTTGGTAAACATCGATTTTTTTTTAAACATTGATTTGTAAAATAGGTTGCATTAAAATATTTGTGAGTTTTTAAAAGTTTATATCACATTACTTCTGCTTTAATTTCCTGTAGTATAGTGAAACTGACTGATAGAGCCACACACACAGGCCACCACAGGCCCTGGGTGAGAACTCTTCGTGTCTTTGGCTGTGGACCCTGTGGTACAAGCAGTGGCAAGAGGGAGGGGCAAGTTGGTGCCTGCCTGTGGAGATGGGAGGAAATGGTTTTGTCTGGAATTATTTGTGTTTTAGTTCTTTCCCTTGTTTGTGTGTGTGATTGAACCTCAGCCTTTGCACTGAGCTACGTGCCAGCTCTCTTTTACTTTTTGATACAGGAGGAGGAGGCCAAGCCAAGAGCTCAGCTGCCTTTCCTGGGTTGTGTGGCTCATACTGGAGGGAGCTTGAAGCTGGTGCTAGGTCAGCCACCTCCAAAGTGGTCTTTTTTTTTTGTCTCTTTGAGACAGAGTCTCTATGTAATTTAGGCTAGCCTTGAGCTCACTTTGTAGCCCTGGCTGGGCTCAAACTCACAGTGATCCTCCTGCCCTTGCCTCCCAACAGCTGAGACTACAGCTGTGTGCCACCGTGCTTGGCCAAAGTAGGCCATTTTTATTTATTTCTTTTTTTAATTTTATTTATGTGTGTGTGTGTGGCCAGCTCAGCCCACCAGGGGGCGGGGCTGGCTGGCATGTGGTGCTGGGGGATCGAACCGCGGTCCCTGTGCTTTGCCAAGCTTGTTCCAAGTAGGTGCTTTAGACCACTGAGCCATCTCACCAGCCCCAGTAGGTCATTTTTATTTTTATTTTTTATTTTATTTTTTATTTATTTATTTGTGGGGGGGGGCAGGTCAGCCCACCAGGGGGCGGGGCTGGCTGGCATGTGGTGCTGGGGGATTGAACCACTGTCCCTGTGCTTTGCTTAGCTTAGCTTGTTCTAAGTAGGTGCTTTAGACCACTGAGCCATCTCACCAGCACCCCCAGTAGGTCATTTTTAAATACGCATTTTTGACCTTTTTAAAAAGAAATTCTACATTGTTTCATTTTAATGCCTGGTGTTTGTAATTCATAAGTATTGTCTTTAATGCATCTGTTTGCATTTGTTTCTAATACTAATTTTATTTTATTTTATATTTTATTTTATTTCATTTATTTATTTTTTTTGGTGGTACCAGGGATTCAACTCAGGCCCTTGCACTTGCCAGGCAAGTGCTTATTCTACTGAGCCATCTCCCTGGCCCCTCTAATACTAATTTTAAATAGTGCCATGGCAACTAATGGTAATAAGTAAAATGCATTTTTTTTCTTTGTAAATTTTCTGTAATAGACTAAAAATAAGTAGTTTGAGTTTATCTATAACCATCAGTTTTTCTCTCTCACCTGATTTTGGAGCAGTTTCAGTCTTCTTTTTCTGAGGTAGTCTTGTTATGTAGTTCAGGCTGACCCTGAACTCACTTACATAGCCAAGATTGGCCACATAGACTCCAGTGGATCCTCTTGCCTCAGCCTCCCGTTACAAGCCAGCTCTTTTCTTCCTTCTGGTCACTTCATAGTGATCATTTCACTTGTGATAATTTCTACAGCATTTACTCTAGAATTTAGAATTTCATGCACTTTAGGTCTCAATACCAAGTACTGCAGCCAAACTGAGACTGTTGCTGTCGGTCAAATCAGAGTTGTAACTGGATTTGGGTGGGGGCAGCGGGTTGCTTGCCCGGAGCATGTGAAGCCCGAGGGCCTATCCCCAGCATCAGTGAAAACCAAAGCAAAATAGGCAGCGAGGGTAAAGCAGAAACTAACCTGGCCTGTTTTCTTCTTCTTCCAAACCTAGTTAACAGGCACAAGCCCTGGCTGGAGCCCACCTACCATGGGATTGTGACGGAGAATGACAACACAGTGCTGCTTGACCCGCCCCTGATCGCCCTGGATAAGGACGCGCCTCTGCGCTTTGCAGGTACAGCTGCCAGGGGCTCTCCTGGGCTGACGCAGGCACACTGATAGCCGTTCCAGTGCTCGGAGCTTGTCTGATAGCTCCTGGTGGTGGCTGATGTGCTCCTGGGCACCATACATTTTCCTCTCCATAATTGGAGTGATGGACAGCAACCTGTTCTGGTCATTGAAAGGCAAATATTTTATTTAATTACATAATAAAAAAATAATCCATACTCCATTCTGTTTATGTGCACATTGCAGTTCAGAAGAATAACCTGTGGCCAGCTTGTGCCAGTCAGGTGGGGATGGAGCTTCAGTGGGTTGTGCTTGGGTGCTGGGTGGCTGAGAGGCAAAGGGACAGGAACAGCAGAGGGGGCACTGTGTGCCATGCTGCAGTGTTTGTCTAGTTGCCTAGGTGATTTCCTTGTGTTTTTCCTCCAGATTGAAATCATTTGTAGCTTTGCATGTTGGTCTGATTACCTAGATTTTTTTCCATTCAGCACTGGGGATTGGTCTGAGAGTCTTCACACTGAGCTACAGCTATAGCTCTTTCTACATTTTTCTTTTTTGTTGTTGTTGTTTTTTGCGGAACTGGGGATCGAACTCAGGCCCTTGTGGTTGGCAGGGAAGCGCCTATTCCACTGAGCCATCTCTCCAGCCCCTCTTTTTACATTTTTCTTGGGGTCTTCGTAAGTCACCTGAGTTGCCCAGGATGGGGTGGAATTTATGATCCTCCTGCCTCAGCCTCTAGAGTGTTAGGATTACAGTTATGTACTACTATGCCTGGGTCTGCCTAGATTTTTGGATGTTTATGTTTAGAAATACACTTACATGGTTCTTGGTAATTATATCCTGTTGCCCTTTTTAAGTGTGATATTTAATGCTATATCATCAATTTTCGTGGGGTTATCTAGTGTCTGTTTTTCAGTAGATTTATGTATATATAATTCATTTTAAGAAGTGATTGCAAGCTGGCTGTGGTATGCATGCCTGTAATCCCAGCACTTGGGAGACTGAGGCAGGCAGGAGGATCTTTGTGAGTTCGAGACCAGCTTGGGTTACAAAGTGAGTTTAAGGCCAGCCTGAACTGCATAGTGAGGCTTTGTCTCAAAAAGATGAAAAAGGGATTGCAGGAGCCAGGCATGATGATGGATGCTATAACCCCAGCACTCAGGAGAATGAGGCAAGAGGATCCCCAGGAGTTAAAGGTCAGCCTAAACTAAAGGGAGTTCTAAAATAAATAAGAAAGAAAATAATAAAAAAGCAACAGCTGAGTTCCGTGTCTCCTCCCCCGGCCCTGTGAAGTGTCCCCTCTAACAGTTCTAGAGTCTGTGGAGCATGGTCCTCTGCACTGCTAGCGTAATGCCTGTCTTAAGACGTCTGCAGCAGTGTCCAGGGTGAGCGCAGGGGCTTCCAGTGCGCATGTGTGTCTAAGCCTCCACAGCCCTAAGAGTGAGTGCTCTCTCTGCCATATCCCCATTCTGCAGAAAGGATCTGAGGCACGGAGCAGTGAGATTGCAGTCCAGGCTGGGGACTCTGTCAGTGCTGCGGCTGCGTTTATAACTGCAGGGAGTTATATGGGAAGCAGGAAGCCACATCCTGACTTTGAAGGGAAAAATCACAGCAATAGAATCATCTGGCTTTTTTCTCATTTTATCTTATTGTGTTATCAAATTTATTATTATTACTATTATTATTGTGCTAATAATACCTATGTAGTTTTTTGTTGTAGGAATCCTTATGGAGTTTATTTTTATTTTTTTATTTATTTATTTATTTATTGTGTGTGTGTGTGTGTGTGTGTGTGTGGCCAGCTCAGCCCACCAGGGCGCGGGGCTGGCTAGCATGTGGTGCTGGGGGATCGAACCGGGGTCCCTGTGCTTTGCTAAGCTTGTTCTAAGTAGGTGCTTTAGACCACTGAGCCATCTCACCAGCCCTGGAGTTTATTTATTTATTTATAATTTATTTATTTATTTATTTATTTGTGTGTGGCCAGCTCAACCCACCAGGGGGCGGGGCGGGCTGGCATGTGGTGCTGGGGGATTGAACCGCGGTCCCTGTGCTTTGCTAAGCTTGTTCTAAGTAGGTGCTTTAGACCACTGAGCCATCTCACCAGCCCCTGGAGTTTATTTTTGACTGTAGGGGATTGAACGTAGATTTTCACACTAAGCTACATCCCTAACCCTTTTAAAATGTAATTTAATTTTTTGAGACAAGGTTTTGCTAAATTGCCCAGAATGGGCTCAAAACTGGGCTTAAGGGCTGGAGAGCTGGCTCAGTAGAATAAGTGCAGGGGCCTGAGTTCAATCCCTGGTTCCACAAAAAAAAAAAAAAAAAAAAAGGCTGGTCTTGAAATCCTCTTGCCTCAGCCTCTCAGAGTGATGAGATTATACATGTGTACCACAGTGGCCAGAGAGTTTCTCTGTGTTCGTTTGAGACAAGGTCCCACTATGTAGCCCAGGCTGGCCTTGAACTCTTGACCCTCCCCGCCGCCAGTACTGGGGTGGTAGGCATCAAGCTCCCTCTGCCCAGGTGTGAGGAGGGAGCACCACAGCACCCTCTCCATCAGAGAAAACCCCACCCCAGCTCAGCAACGCCGACACCAGCTCGTTTGAACCTAGGCGCTGCTGCTTCTCAGCCGTGTGGTCCTGGGCAAGGTGCTTACCCTCTCTGAGTTCAGCGTTCATCATCTATAAAAGGATAGTAATATCACACGCCTCACAGGGTTGGAGGGATGCTAGCTTGTGTGTGTGTGTGTGTGTGTGTGTGTGTGTGTGTGTGTGTGTGTAGAGCTTTGAGCTGGGTGTAGCTCACCCAGCATACACAAGGCCCTTGTTTTTGTCCCTGAACAGTAACCACACACACACACACACACACACACACACGAAAAAGGAAAAAAGCAAAAAAAAAAAATAGCAAATATAGTACTGTATAATGTGTTTGCTGCTGGTGGTATTAATAATGTAATCTTTTGGAAATGTTTTCACTTAATGTTCTAGAAGAAAAATTTTTCTGCCTTTATCCAAAGTCTTCATAGTATTCCATTTTCTCCGTGTCTTAAAGTAATCGAGGCATAAGGCGGAGGTCAGATCTGGAACTGGTTTCTGAGCTTGGGCTGTGAGGCTGCAGTAGCCCAGCTCTGTGGGGTGGGGCAGCCGACACTGAGCACCAAAGGGCAGCTCGGGCTCTGGGCTGTGCTGTCTCTGACCATCTTGAGATGAGGAAACTGGCTCAGAGCTTGTCTGTCAGCTGCACGACACAGGGGGATGATGACCTTGTCAGTTTTGTCCCCATCATGTTGTGCTCCTGGGACATGTGGGCCTCCTGTGCGTGCTTGAGGATGGCACAGCTAAGTTTGCGTAGGGTGGCATGCCCCTTGCTGGCAGCTTGCTTCCTAGGTTGCTGGTTTAGTGCTCAGGACGTTGTGGCTGGTGTCTTGTCCCTTTCTGAGGCATAGCGCAGGACATGCCAGGAGTTCATGTCCCTGCAGCACCTGTGGGTCTCAAGTTGGACAGTGAGTTGCAGAAGCGCCTCGGTGGTTGTCACTGTCAGCTCATGACGAACCCAGGTTGAGAGAGAACAGCCTTGGTGTTTGTCAAATGTTTTAGGAAATTTAGATGGCTCACTTTCTTATTCTGTCCCCTTTACTTATTACATTAAAAGCCTGAGGACATGTGATTGGGAAAATATGTTTTGGCATGGTGGCACACTCCTGTAATCCCAGCACCTTGGAGGCTGAGGCAGGAGCACCACAAGACCTTCCTCTCAAACAAACAAACAAAAAAGCCATGAGTGGTGGTGCCTGTGACCCCAGGAGGAGGGTCAGTGTGGGTTTGAGACCAGCCTGCAATACATAGTGAGACCCTGTTACCCAAAACCAAGAGATAAAAAAAATCAAGTTAAAAAATAAAAGGGCTTATATGTATCCCAGTACTGGGGCGGGGGGAAGAATCTTAAATTCGTGTATTTCATGGTGAGTTAAAGCCTGAACCAGGCCGGGGAGATGGCTCAGTAGAATAAGCATTTGCCTGGCAAGCCCAAGGGCCTGAGTTCAATTCCTGGTTCTGCCAAAAAAAAAAAAGAAGCCTGAACCACACCTGTAGACCGCAGTGTCCCTGGTGTGGAGATGAACTCTGTCCTCCTGTAGCAGAAAGCTGAACCCTCGCTGCGCTCTTTGCTTTGGCAGGCAGGCCTGTTCCAGTTGCCCCAAGTGGGCTGTGGTTCGTAGAGTTGGCTGAACATGGTGATATGAGTGGAATCGAGGAGGAAAAGTTTGGAGTGCCGTTTGGTTTGGCATCTGCTTAGAACTTTTCTCCCTGACCTTGGTGATCCTGTGACTCAGTCTAGGAGGTGGCCTGCAGGGCTCGCTGCTGCCCCCACCGTATGTAGTGCCTTGTTGGGCGGGTGCAGCCAGGTCCATGTGCTTGTAGCAGGGAGTTGCATGGGCCAGCTTGACTCATGAGAGATTGCCAGTTTTTGTTGTTCATTTTTTGGTTTTATGACACAGGGTCTCACTGTGTAGTCTAGGCTGGCTTTGAACTCACCGCAGTCTTCCTGCCTCAGCCTTCCAAGTGCTGGGATTATAGGCCTGTGCCACCATGCCCAGCAAGATCACCATATTTGTACGTTGAAAATATAAGAATTTGTTAGTGCTGGCATTAAATAGTTTAGCTTAAGATATTACATTTTCTACTTACAGTAATGATTAAAAAGATAATGTTACTTCTTGTTCCTGGGCACATTGCATAGTCAAGTATTTGGATGCCTGGTATTTTCTGTAGCACCGTAATAACTGCCATGGAATTTGCTATGAATCTGAGGCTTTCAGTGCTTTGCTCTGTGGAGCAGCGCTCCATCCATGCTTGGGTGGAAGATGTAGGAATACCTGGAACAAACGGTAGGACCATGTGCTTTAACCTGAGCTGTGTCCAGAGCACCTGAGGGGAGCTGTTTGGTGCTAGTCATTTGTCTCTGGTGCTGGTGCTTCCCTGGACAGGTTTGGGATGTGCGGCCGTCACATGCTGCGTGGCCACTGGGCCTGCAAGGCTGATAGAAAGGCCAGGAGTTGGCTCTGTCTCCGAGCCCTGGTGATGTAGGTGGGAGGGTGAAATCTTCACTGTTTCGGAGCATGAACCCTGGAGGCTGGGAGGCTTAGGGCTTAGGGCAAGGAGGAGGCATCGGTACCAGGTTTCAGAAGACAGGTGGGAGGGAGATACCTGGTCCTGGACCTTCTGCTAGAACTGCTGAGTTAAAAGTTCTAGGGAGGGCAAGCACATGTACCTGAACTACACCCTAGCCTGAAATCAGGATTTTAGGTCCGTTGTGAAGCAGAACAGCAACATGGGGTCTGCTGGGGGTTGAGAGGGGCAGAGCAGAAAGGACATCAGAAGTGAGCCGCAATGCTGAGAGTCCTCCTTTGCAGCATGGGAGGAAGATGGCTGAGTCAGGATAGCTGCGGTGGAAGTGTGCCTGTGTGTGCAGGACCAGGGACATGGGCCTGGGGTGTGTGTGACTGCTGCCAACTGGATGCACCAGGGAGGCGGGACTCAGGAATGGGTTGAGCACTGACAGATGACACATGTGCTTCTGGAGAGGTGTTACTCACGGCCCTACTCTGTCCCGGGGAGGAAGATTGTGAGTGAGTGTGTCAGGAGCAGAGCTAGCTGCTCCAACACGCCAGTACCTGGGATGCGAGGGTTGCTGTTGACTGCCTGGTGTGTGGTTGTTATGTGAAACTGTTCATGTTACCTACTGCAGTATTGTAGATTGAACATGTATCTGGGCCTTGTTTAAAATACTCTACAGCAGGCATGGTGGTGCACACCTGTATTTCTAGCATTCTGGGAGGCTGAAGCCGGAGAGTCACAAGTTTAGCCTAGCCTGGGTGCTTTAGTGAGATATGCTTCAAAATATACAAATATACAAAGGTCTGAGGATGGAGCTCCACGCAGAGGCCCTGGGTTCATCCCTGGTACAAAAACCCAAAGCTGCCCTCCAAGCAGGCCGGAAGCGAAGCTGGATGGGCAGTGGCAGCTGCTGGGCCCGAGGCTCCGCCTTTTCCTGTCTGTGCCTCAGTCCTTCCAGTGGACCCATCAGGTGACCTGAGCCACTGTTCCTGAGCAGCCCCCTCCAGTTCCGCAGCACTCGTGGGTCCCATGCAGTTCATCAGAGCTGGGGTTTGAGGGAACAGACTAGGCCCTGAGGCGGCAGTCCAGGCTGTTCCACGTGGGGAGCTGCCCTGTGAGGCGGTGGTGAGGGCCCTGCCTGGCCAGCAGTGCAGTAAGCGCTGGTGGATCTGAGGCCCCATGGAGCCTCCATGCGTGCACGTTCACAGCAGAAGGGACCCCGTCTAGCATCCGCTGCTCTCCTTGTGAATGGATCACATCCAGCCTCTGGAGTGCAGCCTGGAAATGCAGTATGCTTTGCTGTGAGTCTCATTTGTTCTCCCGCTTGCCGATTACACTTCTGAGACACCACCCCAGGACCCCACACCGTGCTATGTTGTGCAGCCCCTGGTACAGAGCTGGAGCTCAAGGCCCAGCCCCACCTCCTAGTCACTGTGCCAGGTTTGTGAAAGGCAGCCTCCCAGCTCTGCCCACTTCTCAGTGCCTGCCCCATCCAGAACAGTCCTCAGCGCCTCCTGCTGGCACTGCTCAGGTAACATCTCTGTGCCTATGGACTGCTCCGCCTAGAGCCCCCTTCTCCCAGGGAGAGGGGGAGAAACAGAGATTCTTGCCGGAGCTCGGGCAGGCGCTGTGTAGCTTCAGGGCGCCCATCTCTGCAGACCTCGTGTCCCTGAGCTCAGCCACTGGGCAGCACAGGGCTCCCCGCAGAGCCTGGCCTTTGCACAGCCGTTCTGCTGCCCTGAATTCCTCCCAGACAACTGCGTTTGTGCTCCCTTCGCTCCCGGCCTCTTTGTTCAGACATTTCACTGTGAATCCTGCAGTCTGAGACAGAAACCCCAGTGGCTGCCTTTGCTCACATCCCTTCTCCTCGCACCCCCGCCTGATTTCTCAAAAGAAAGATGGGGAGTGTTTACAACAGCTGGGGAATGGTCCCGCTCTGCCTGAGCAGCTCTCGGAATCAGTCTCAGGGGCTCTGCTTATAGTCTCATGTGGTGGGCGGCTGAGGAGAAAGCCTCTGAGCCAAAGAGTTTAGGACCAGCCTGAGCAACACAGCAAGACCCTGTCTTCTCAGAACCAAAAACTCATCCAGGACAGTGATCAGGTCCTTGTGTTTTTACTTCACTTCAAGCCAGTGTTCATGCTAGGGTCTTCGTCCATGCTTTCAGAGCCTGGCACCCTGGTCAGGAAGCACACTGCAGCCACAGTCAGTGCAGCAGCAGAGAGGATGTGTACTGCCTCACGTGGGACTCCACAGTGAAGGCTGGAAAGTTTTCTCCAAATGAAGGCTGGACTCTGGATTTACTGTGAGCATATCATGTGATGCTGACATACACCCAGAAGTGTGGGTACAGTACAGTGAGTCAGCGCATCCCAGCATGTAGACGACACCTCCGTGGTACCCAGTGCTTCTGCTCTAGGGTGAGGACCGGCGAGCTTTTTCCCTGAAGGAGTTGAACAGGAGATGTCCAGAGGGTCTTTGTAGCTGCGGTAAACTCTGCCATCGTACTGAGAACACAGTGGAGACCATCCCTACACTGCGGGCATATCTGTGGCCCAGTGCAATGTTATTGGTGGATAGCTGGATTTGGTGATGCATGTCTGTAATCCTAGCACTTGGGAGGCTGAGGGAGGAGGATCACTGTGAATTGTCAGCCTGAACTACCTAGTGAGACCCAGTCTCAAAAAAAAAGTTATTGATGGAGACTGACATTTGAATTTTTAGTATAACTTTGTCATGTAATATATTTGTAGTGGAAATTGAACCCAGAGCCTTCGCACTGAGCTACATGCCAAGCCCTTTTTCACATTTTAGTTTGGGACAGGGTCTCACTAAGTTGCTCAGGCTGGGTTCAAACTCGTTATCTGCCTGCCTTGGCCTCCCAGCATGCTGTGCGCCATCAGATAGCATGTGATCCTGAAATACTATTTGAAAAGATAGAGACCATTCCTAGTACCTGAGATGGGCTAAGTTTGGCCCAGAAACCATTGTCTGCAGAGCCTGCACTGCTTGGCCTGTGAACAGAACCAACTGTTGGGGGGTAGTCGCATGCTATGGATCCGTGTTCAGGCAGCTCTCACCAGCCAGGTTGGTGACATATGGCTATGAGCACATGGAATGGGGCCAGATCGATGACTAAGGAGCTGAATGTTAATATTTCATTTTAGCATGAGTTTTAGTTTAAGTATGAACAGCTGTGTGTGACTGGTGGCTGCCACATTGGGCAACACAGATCTAGAATGTCTTGTTCATGTCTAGGAAGACACAGAGGCAGAAATGTCTGCCATGGTATTGTTCATCAATAGCAGAAAATTTGGGGTTACAGCATATTCATACAGTGAGAAATGGTGATAGTAAGCTGGGTGTGGTGGTGCGCACCTGTAATCCCAGGACTTGGGAGGCTAAGGTAGGAGGATCACTTCGAGTTTGAGACCAGCCTGGGCTACAAAGTGACCTGTCTCAAAAAGACAAAAATAAATAAATAAATAAAAATAAAAGAATAAATGAAGGATGATGGTAATAGCAAACATTTGTCAAATGCATTCTCTATGAAAGGCAGTGTTTGAAGCATGCTGCGTGCTTTATTTCAGGGGATTCTCACGAGTAGGTAGTGGTGGCTGCCAGATGAATGCATCTTTTTTTTGGGGGGGCAGGCGGAACTGGGGATTGAACTCAGGCCCTTACGCTTGCCAAAGAAGTGCTTATTCCACTGAGCCTTCTCCCTGGCCCCTCAAAATTCCCGTAGCTCTTTTTTTTTTTTTTTTTTTGCGGAACCGGGGATTGAACTCAGGCTCTTGTGCTTGCCAGTGAACCACTTATTCTGTTGAGCCATCTCCCCGGCCCTTGCATCTTAAGATATTGAAGGTTGACTACAAAATCAAATCGCAAAAGCTATATGTCACAAGCTGCATGTCACCCGGTACCATTTTTAAAACCTTTAAAATCATGCAAAGTGAAATAATACTGTTCAGAGTAAATAAATGGCAACATCTTTCAAAAAGCAAAGGAATTCAGAGAGTGCTACCTCAGGGAGAGGGGATGGCTTGGCGGGAGGTGTGTTTGCAGAGATATGGTCGCTGTGGTGACCTTGCGTCTGGTTTTGATATCCTGCCTTTCACATTAAGCAGACATTCACTAGCGGAGGGTTCCTACTTATTCCTTTGGTTGGGTGCTTTTGAGTATAAACCATCAGTATTGATAAGAGCAAAGGGTTCCAGCGTTTTCCTCCAAATGTTTGCTTCTCTTAGTCTAAATTGAGGGCTGTAGAATCTAGCTGAGAGAACTCAGTTTGAAAAGGAAAACATACAAGTTAGTTTACTAACTGTAGTCACATAGGTATTCTAAACGAAAGCTCTAATGACACCTGAGGCTGTTAGGAAATCTCATACCACAATCTCATCTCTAAATTAGGGTCATTTAAAAATTATGCAGTAGCTCATGGTAAGTGGGATTCAAAGTAACATTTTGCTAGGGAAGATCCAGTTTGATTGTAGGAATTCTAGTAGGTGATTACTGAGTGTGTTGTTAAATTATATGTCAAGCTTTTTGTGTGTAATATGTGCATCTTTGACTATTTCCTTGTTCCATCTCCACTCTCCTGAATTACTGACATGGGTTTATCTTTTCTCTCTTTAGAGAGTTTTGAGGTGACAGTCACCAAAGAAGGTGATCAAGGGTTCTTTGTCTCCCTCTTATTAATATTAACCCACTAACTTTGTTGATAAAATTGGGAATCAGCCCTTAAACAGAAGCAACTGTCATGCTCCTTTGCCCCTATTTATTCTCCTACTTTGTCCCTATTATTAAGTGTATTGATGGAGGGTGTATGTAATCAGACCCTTGGTTAGAAATATCTGGAAATCAGACATCCATTTGAACTACATGGACAGCACCACGATTTTTGTTTAATTGAACTTCAGAGATTTTTTTCAGAACAATTTTCTGTTTGTTGGAGTCATGGAAGAGTTCAGTCTGATTTTTATGTGAAATAATGTTTGTGAAGTTTCATATACACATCAGATCATCTGTGATTGTTCCTTCATGTGCAAGGACGGCAACACGGATCTTGAGCTCTCCTTCAGCTTTGAAGCCAATTCAGCTGTAGCGGAGTTCCCAAGCTGGTCTTTCAGGGTTGATAGGATAAACCCCCCATAAAAGGGTAGCACGTCCCTCCCCGTGACAGAACCGGGTGACAGCTGTTGAAATGGATGCCTGAAAGTTGGTATTTCTACCTCTCGTTTAGCAGTTTGTTTTGATTCCCTAATTTTAGCCAGGCTCATTGCACAGGAAGACTTGATTGTTTGGACTTTTTCTTGACAGAATTTCTGTAATTATGGTGCTGGTCCTATATCTCACGCTTCTTTCTCTTCCCACACTTAACTGTGCGTTTTATCCTGTCCTTGATCCAAATCCAAAAAGATGCCTGGCCCTCGGCCCTCGGTCCTCCGGTGGCTGGGGCAGCCGCGGTGTGCTCCAGCCTCGGCTGTCTGCTAACGCGACTCCTTTGCCCTCGAGCCCTCTAAGTGCTCCTGTGGAATGCCTGTCTACCTTCTCTCTCTCGTTTGTATTCCTGCATGAGTGGATGCAAAGTATACGTGTTGCTTGGGAAGCCAGACTCTGCTTCTTTTGACTAAAGCCCCAGAACTCACCCGTGTTAAAGCACAGTGCCCCCTGCTTTGTCCACGGACCCTCCAACCCCTGGCTGCCGAATTGTCATTTTCTTTGGGGGAGGAGGGCAATGTGTAGAAGGTTCGCATGGCAGAAATCCTGACCTGTTCTGCTTTGACTCCCCAGGTGAGATTTGTGGCTTTAAAATTCACGGGCAGAATGTCCCCTTTGACGCAGTGGTAGTGGATAAGTCCACTGGAGAGGGGATAATTCGCTCCAAAGAGAAACTGGACTGCGAGCTGCAGAAAGACTACACATTCACCATCCAGGCCTACGACTGCGGGAAGGGCCCTGACGGCACTGGCGTGAAGAAGTCTCATAAGTAAGCAGGAGCTGGGGATGTAGCTCAGCAGTACGGACCTGCCTGGCAAGCGAAAGGTCCTGAGTTCGATTCTCTGTACCAAAAATATAAAAACATAAGCAGGCTGGCAAGGAGGGACAAGAACCCACTGAGGATTGTGTGTGCCCGAGTAAAGGGAGGGACAGGGAACAGTGTCTGTGTCCCCGACTGTTCAAGTTTGGGGCAGAAGACATCTCACTAATGAAGTCTTAGTGAGAGCAGTGTGTGCTCTCACTAATGGGCAGCAGGCTTTGAAAAATAAATGAATGGACAGTCTTGTTCCACCACTCTTCATTCAAGAAGGAGGCCCTACACTGACTGCTTTGAGAAGCCCGCCTTTCCCTGAGGAAGGGTATATTGTTGTTGTGTTCCTATTTTCCGGTAAACCCCAAGGGCAGAGGGTTGATCACCCGCACCAAGAGGCAGTGGGCCCACGTCCACTATCCCGAGTGTGAGGCACAGGACTGCGCAGGGTGCATGTGGGGATTGGTCTGCCTCTGCCACGGGCCAGCCATTGGCGTGAAGCAGTTTGATGTCGCCGAGGCTCCGTTTGTTCGTAGCATGTAGCTCAGGACCAGGGTGAGGACCAGCTGCCATCACACAACCGAGGGGAGGGTTTCAGGGGATGCCGTTGGGGGAGGCGCTCAGTGAACAGTGGAGTGTGCTCGCTAGGGAGTCACCCTCAGCCTGCGTACAGCGTGACTTGGCTGTGGGCTTTGCTCATATCTTGACCAAACACCTTGTCTACCTCAGAAACAGACTGATTAGTAGCCCTTGAAATCTACATCTCTTGTCCTTGGGAGCCTAGTTTCCTTGATAACCAGTGGGCGTCTGGGAAGTGGCAGTAGGCGCCACCTCCTTCACCCGGCACATTGGTGCCCATGTCCTCCCCAGGGCCACCCTTGCTCTCGGGCTGCGTTTACTCCTTCCAGGACAGAAATTACTTCTCATTGGAGGCCTGGCCTTAGCTCAGTTGTTTAAGTGGCTGCTTCCACAAAGCTGTCAGCCTCAGGTTGCTGTAGTTCGATCCCCACAACACTCCAGCCAGCCAAACCACCCCTGAGGGCATTCAGAGCAAAAAAAAAAAAAAACCTTACTTCTCATCATCAAACTTTGCCATGTTTATTCTGTTTTCTTGTCCTCTCTTCCTTTGACCCAACTTTTCCCATCTAACATTTGTGATAAAATGTCTTTCTTTTTTTTTGTTTTTTTGAGACAGGGTTTTACTATGTAGTAGAGGCTGGCCTTAAACTCGCATGTTTGGCAAGTGCAGGGACCAGAGTTCCATCAAATGTTCCTCCTGCTTCAGCCTCCTGAGTGCTGGGATTGCAGGTGTGCACTACCATGCCCAGCCAATAAAATGTCCTTTAACTTTTATCTTTTTAATTTTCAAAAAATTTTTTCCTTTTGTATATTTGGTACAGGGTCTCACTACACAGCTCAGACTTGTAGTGATCCTCCTGTTTTCAGCCTCCCCAGAGCTGGGATTACAGGCATGGGCTACCACACCCAGACTCAGTCACTGGCTCACTGCATCCAGGGGTGGGGCCAGTGCAGCATGCGGGACCGGGGATTGAACCCTGTTCCCTGCATTTGCTAAAATAGGCACTAAGCCCTCTGAGCTATCTCACTGGCTCATCCTTTAATTTTTAATTAGAGAACAGACAGGTACCTAATATAAATAGATGTCTCCCATATATCTCCCATCTTTACATCCTGGCCTACAATGTCAGAGAAAATTCTAAAGTGTCTGTTTCCCTCTGTCCCACCTGCTATCTCTAGCTGTGCTAGGGGCTGAATCGATTGGCTTATTCATGATAGACAAAAAAGTCTCCCACCTCTGAGCTATATCCCTAGCCCCAGGTCTCTTTTTGTATTGGCTTTTAAACTTAGCTTTAAGGATGTGAAAGAGTCAATCTACATCCTTATTTTAAGGGCTTTTTTTGGCCCAAGCTGACTTGAAAACATTGAAGTTTGATTTAATTTTCTTATCTTCATTATATGAATTTCATGAAACAAGGTAGCATAGGAAAATAAATTTAGGATTAAATGCCTGCAAGCAGGGGCAGGGGCCAGGGGTTCAATCCCTGGGCCTGTGGTGCCAGCCCCTCCCACGGGGCATGTTGAGACAGCATTTGAGACTGGGCTTGGTGGCGTGTGCCTGTAATCCCAGCTCTTGGGAGGCTGTAAACCGGAGGATCACTACAAGTCTGATCTAGTAGTTAGATCCTGAACACCCTGTAGACCCTTCCCTAAAATACAAAAATAAATAAATAAATTTAAGAATAGGGCAAAATTGGTATCCTATGAATGAAAAACAATGAAAACCCCCAAACAGCTGTTTCCTCCTTTCTGTCCAGAGCAACTGTCCACATCCAGGTGAACGATGTGAACGAGTATGCCCCTGTGTTCAAGGAGAAGTCCTACAAGGCGACGGTCACTGAGGGCAAGCAGTATGATAGCATCCTGAGGGTGGAGGCCGTGGACGCAGACTGCTCCCCTCAGTTCAGCCAGATCTGCAGCTACGAGATCGTCACTCCTGATGTGCCCTTCGCTGTGGACAAGGATGGTGAGAGCTGAGCAGCCCTTGCCAAGAGTGGCCCTGATCTGTGTCGTGCCGACGATTCGGTGGCCGGCATTGCGTGTTGTGGTCTCCACTCTGTCTGACAGCACTGTCTGCTGGGGCTCCCATTTCTGCTTTCTTACCTATGTCAGTAAGAGCGCTGCCCCGCTGCCTCCAGCACGTCGCTTCTTCCTGCTCCATCCCAGGCGTTGCAGCGGGCCTCCCCACAATGCAGTTAGCAATGTGCACTTTCTATCTGATCTCTCCCTCCCCCACAATACAGGGGAAGAAGCCCAGAGCCGCCCGCATGCTGGCAGGTGCACTTCAACCAAGTGTTCACGCAGAGTTACTTCTGCCCAGCCCACTCTGGCCTTAGTAATTGAACAAAAGTAGCTCTCTGGAACTCAACCTCTTTATGGAGGTTAGAGATTCTCAGTGATGATCTGTGTCTCCATTGCTAACTAATGCGCAGCATAGAATCTTTGATGGAATTATGGGTAGAAGTCTGTCTGCACTCACATTCCAAATGCAGGTTTCTGCTGGGCATAGTGGTGCGAGTCTTTATTCTCAGCACTGGATAAGCTGAGGCAGGCGAATTGCTGTGAGTTCAAAGCTAATCTGGGCTACATAACAAGACACTGTCTCCAAAAAAGCGGACTCGTTGTATGGTCAAGGAGGAGCAGAAACTAATCTGTTTCCCGCCCCACTTTGAGATGAACCTGGCACTAAACACACCCCACTGCTGAGTTATGCCCCAGTCCTACCACCTGCAAAGTAAATCTTTTTAGTGAGAAATATTTAATGCAATTTGACTTTATATGTAATAATTGAGATCTGAATTGTTTTGTCTTTTATATATGTATTACAAAGTTAATATAAAAGCAAGTGTATACTGCAGGAATCACAGAGACTGAGTTGTGGGGAGTCGGCTCCCCTGTGGAAGCGCTTCTGGAGGGGTGCCGTGTGTGCAGGCAGGCGGGGTGCTCTGGGCTGGCACGTTTCAGGGTTGCCTTCACACTGCCTTAATGCACAGTGTTCTGTTTCCACACAGGACAGTGAAAGTGGCGATGATTTTCACTTGCCTTTTCTCCTTGACAGGTTATATAAAGAACACCGAGAAGCTAAACTATGGGAAAGAACGTCAGTATAAGCTGAGCGTCACGGCCTATGACTGTGGGAAGAAGAGGGCCGCGGAAGATGTTCTGGTGAAGATCAGCATTAAGCCCACCTGCACACCTGGGTGGCAAGGTGAGCACACGCGCGCCCCGCACACCTTCGGAAGCTTAGAACCAAGCAGCCCTAAGGTCGAGTTTTTCTCTTCCCTCCCACTCTGACTCGTGGGTGACACAGGCTGGAGTAACAGGGTTGAGTACGAGCCTGGCACTGGCGCCCTGGCTGTCTTCCCAAACATCCACCTGGAGACATGTGATGAGCCAGTGGCCTTGGTGCAAGCCACAGTGGAGCTAGAGACCAGCCACATCGGGAAAGGCTGCGACCGAGACACCTACTCTGAGAAGTCCCTGCACAGGCTCTGCGGTAAGAGGGCAGGAGGCAGGCGTCCTGAGCTCATGGTCTTCAGGGCGGGGGACCCTTTCAGTGGGCCACGCCGCTCAGTGTGGGATGCTAACCCAACAGGCACTGACACACTGGCCGATTTTCAACCCAGGTGATAACCCCCCAAAATCTGTTCAGAATGTTACATGTGTGGCATTGTAAGAACCACTGATTGGAAGAGAACAGCACACGTTGTAAATCATCCGAATAGGGCTGAGGTAAGGATAAGCTGTCCCAGCTGCTTGGGGGATGGAGGCAGGAGGATTGCTTGAGCCCAGGAGTTTGAGACCAGTTTGAGCAAATTGTCAGACTCCATCTCAGAAGAAAGATGAAGGTGAGTTTTATATGAAACAAAATGTTCACTAAAGAAAAATATATAGGTGATGCAGTAGCCTTTGTAAACACGAATCAGAATCAGCCTAAGGAAACTTGTATCTCAGGCCTTTTTTTGTTTTGTTTTGAGATAGGGTCTTGCTATGCAGTTTAGGCTGGCCTTGAACTCACGGTGATCCTCCTGCCTCAGCCTCCTGAGTGCTGGGATTACAGGCATGTGCCCCCATGGCTAACCGTAAGATATGCACATTTGACTGGAGGCTTAGCTCACTTTACACGTCACAGACCACATTGTGGATGAGCTGAGAGACAAGGACTGGGAGACAGATCAGAGAGCGAGCTTTCTTCTTTCCTAGCTTCTGTGCACCTTCCCAGTTTATCTAGATGAAGAAAAGGGAGGTCCGCATGCCTCTAGTAGGAGGTGCTGAATATTTACGTGGTTAGCCATAAACACTAGAGCCTCAGAGGCCCCTTGTGATCCGCAGCTCTGCAGGGAGCCATCTCCCAAGCTGCTCTACCTTCAACTACCCAGGAAAGCCTGTAGGGCTTCACTTCACTCTTCCCTCCCCTCCTCTCCAGTCCCCTCCACTTCCCTCCCCTCCCCTCCTCTTTCCTCTTTTCTTTTGATATAGGGTCTTGCTATGTAATTGAGGCTGGCCTTGAATTCACAATGTACCCCAGGCTGGTCTCTAACTCAAGGCAGTCTACCTGGCTTGGTCTCCTGAGTGCTGGGCTTGCAGGCATGTGCCACCACATCTGACTGACACTTAGTTTTCTTTCTTTCTTTTTTTTTTTTTTTTGGCGGAACTGGGGGTTGAACACAGGCCCTTGCTCTTGCCAGGGAAGCACTTATTCCACTAAGCCATCTCCCCGCCCCAACACTTGGTTTTCTTAATAATTAGAACTTGCTGGGTGGCAGCTTGGCAGAAGAGCAACCTCTTTCCTGTTCTGGTCACCCTCGTGCTGAGGACTTTGGACATATCATGCCACAACAGTGTACTCAAATAAATGTGAATTGAGGGGTAGGAATGTTTTCTGTTTTAAAGTATACATGTAAGTATAATGTATAAAACTGACTTCTTTATAAGGTCACTATTTATTTCAATAGTGGGTGAATATTTTCTCAGCAGAACAGCTGAAAGTTAAGAAGAATAGAGCATTTAGCACCTGAGTTCTCACCATACTGTATAGAGCTAGTGTTCTATGTGTTAATCTTCCCAGCAGTCTTCCAGAGTAGGTGGTGCTAGCCTTGTTGGTACAGAGGAGCTAACTGACGCTGCAGGAGGTTACGTAGCTTTTCCAGCAACGAGTTGTAAAAGTCACAGAGCTGGGATTTCGGCCAAGGTCTTGTCTCTCAAAAGATAGGACTGGTGCAGCCAAGTGATGCTGCTCCTAGGGCTGTAGAATTCAAAGACCCTGCATCAGAGAAAGCTTGCAGATCTTCTTTGGGGACAAATTCAAAAGAAAATTTGGGAGGACTGAGCTACAGCTCAGTAGTAGCATATCTGCTTAGCACGTCTGAGTTTGATCCCCAGTACCCAGAAGAAAGTTTGATTTTGGCAGTATGTAATGATAGTTGTCAAAGGTTTGTTTTTTGTTTTTTTGTTTTTTTTCTTTCCTATTTTTGACTTAGTAAATCCATTTGTAGGAATTTATGCTAGATGCATAATGATGGGGACGGGGCCGTTGAGGAGAGGTCATTAAGGGGAGAGAGCAAGACAGTCCCAGTGCCCCAAGGGAGAACAGGCCCATCCATCACGTCAGAGCTTTGGTTCGGGGGGGCGGGCGGATGCGCATTAGGATTCCGTTTAGCTCATGCCTTGTGTGTGTCTATATTCATAGAGAGCTAGGAGGGTTTATCCCCAGATGGTGTCTATTTGGGTGGGATTACTAGAAATAGTTGATATTTTTGTCCTCCTTTCTATAAAAAACCATCTGTAGTTATTATCATTTTTCTCTTTAAATATTTCCTATTTTTAAGGAAAAGTAAGTTCAGATTAGCACATTGACTGTGAAACAAGTCCAGCCCTTGAGTACAAAGCTTTGACTCTTGTGAGCGCCGGGTTCTTTGCAGAACTGACCTTCAGCGTTGTCGCTGTGGTTTCAGGGGCTGCTGCAGGCACTGCCGAGCTGCTCCCTTCCCCCAGCAGCTCCTTGAACTGGACCATCGGCCTCCCCACTGACAACGGCCATGACAGCGACCAGGTCTTTGAGTTCAATGGCACCCAGGCAGTGAGGATCCCTGATGGTGTAGTTTCTGTCAACCCCAAGGAGCCCTTCACGATTGCCATGTGGATGAGGCATGGACCTTTCGGCAGGAAGAAGGAGACGATTCTTTGCAGTTCAGACAAGACAGGTAGGTTGTGTTTCTGTCGGTAGTGGACCTCAGGGCCCAGCGGGTCCTCGCAGGCAGCAGGTGCCTTCACCGCCCCCTAGCCTCTCAGGAAGCTGCGTGGTTCAGACATTGTCTCGATTTGGGGCTGGACATGCTTTGTTCTCAAGAGAGACAGCGTCCAGGGATGGTCGACAGCTGTCAGGAGCCTGGCGCTTAGTAGAACCCAGGCGTATTTGTTCCTAGATGCTGCATAGCCCAGCTGGAGGATTCGCTTATGCAGATGAAAATGTGTCTTCGAAATCCATTAAGGAAACAGACCTCACTTCTCCCTTGGACCCTAAGGTAGCTGTTTCACCTGTTGGAACTCTCTTGACAGATATGAACCGACATCACTACTCACTCTACATTCATGGGTGCAGGCTGATTTTCCTCCTCCGTCAGGACCCTTCCGAGGAGAAGAAATACAAGCCTGCAGAATTCCACTGGAAGTTGAATCAGGTGAGCAAGTGCAAAATCCACCAGCTGTGAATGTGTAAGAGATGACGTGGGGACTGCCGCATCGCCCGTGTCTGGCCAGGTATGGATGGCCTCAGCGTGGCTTCTGGTCTGGGTCACAGGGTAGCAGACTCAATCTATTCCTCTCTTTCACTCAGAAAGCCTGAGGGCCTTTTGTGTATGTTGTTATAGATAGAATATGTTGATAGACAAGTCAGGTATTTTAAATTTAAAAACTATTCTAACTGAAATAAGGAGCATTTGCCTAAAACTTGGGATTGAGATCTTTGTGTTGGTCCCTTCCTTTGTTCCCTAAGGCTGTGTCTGTGGGATCGCGGGGAGCCCTGGGGGGCTCAGCAGTGCTCAGGTACCGCAGCATAGTCTAAGTCTTCAAGGAATCGGCAGTCTTGACATCTTTCAGATACCACACACGCCACGAGCCTGAGGGAGTTGCAGTTGTGACACTGGGCCACATAGCATTCCTTCTGATGACATCATGTCTCTGCAAACCTAACTTTCCAGCACTTGCCATGATCAAAACCAAAGATCCATGAAAAAATGTGGTAGTTCTGTTAAAAAAAAAATACATGTGTTACAGGAAATGGAGGGTGCTGTAACCTGAGAGAGGCTGCTCATTAAACTCAGAACAGGTCATTTCTTAATCTTTTTTGTTTTGCTTTGTGTTTTGTGAAGGAGGGTCTCAATCACACACGCTGAACTCAAACTTGTGATCCTCCTGCCTCAGCTTCTTGAGTGCTGGGATTACAGGAATGTAGTATCACGCTTGGTCTCATTTCTCCTCTTGATCTAGGATTTGAGGAATCAAAGGCTGTTTTGGGCCTTACTTTGGTTTTATTTGGCTTTGGAATTAGCAAAAGTTGACACTGTTAATTGAGAGTGGCTGGGGATCTGGGGAGATGGTTCAGTGGAATAAGCGCTTCCCTGGCAAGCGCAAGCACCTGAGTTCAATGCCCAGTTCCACAAAAAAAAAAAAAAAAAATTGAGAGTGGTGGCATACACCTATAATCCCAGTAACTCAAGAGGCTGAGGCAGGAGGATTGCTGTGATTTCGAGGCCAGCCTGGCTGTATAAGCAAGTTTGGCAGTACATAGTGAGACCTTGTCTCAAAATCCAACCAAACCAAATAAAAGTGGCCTGTTTAGATGTGTCTGTGTGTGCTAAAATACAACAGTGCCTGAAGTAGTTATAGGATGGATGATAATGAGAGAGCACAAAGGAGAAAAGGAGGAGATAAATGCCTTAGGTTTTTTCATTTCTTACTGGTGTGATTTTTATGTAAATAATTTTTCTCAGAGGCATTTACCCTCATTTTTCTCAAGAAACCATAGAAAGTTGTTGTCTGAGCTGGGTGTGGTGTCACATACCTGTAACCCCAGCCCTCAGGAGCCCTCAGGTGGGGAATCAAAAGCGAGTACAGACTGGTTACATAGTGATTTTATGGCCAGTCTTAGACAACATGCCATCACCCTATATCAAAACAAAATGAAAAGATAAGTCTGGAAAAAGTGTTTGCAACATCGACAAAGTATGCTTCTGGTATAGTAACTGTTGCGATTGCCGGGCAAATGCTTATTCTACTGAGCCATCTCCCCGGCCCTTCCACTGAGTTATCTTCCCAACCCCATGATTGCATATTTAAAAAAAAATTATAATGGAAAATTTTTTCATATATATATATGAAAAAAAAATATATATATATGTTATATATATGTAGATGGGTATAAAGAACAGCCCTGGGGCCAGGGAGATGGCTCAGTGGAATAAGCACTTCCCTGGCAAGCGCAAGGGCCTGAGCCAATCCCTGGTTCCACAAAAAAAAAAAAAAGCCCTGTGCATGTTTTGTCCAGCTTCAGTGATGACCAGCTCTTGGATGGTTTCTTTCATCATTATTCCCATCATTTGTTTTATTTTGTCTTTTGAGACAAGGTCTTGCTGTGTAGTTCAGGCTGGCCTTGAGCTCACTGTGAGGTCCTGGCTGGCTTTGAGCATGTGATAATCTCCCTGTCTCAGCTCCTGAGTGTCAGGATTACAGGCATGTGCCACCATGCCTGGCATTATTCTCTTTCTTTATCAATAGTTTTGTTACCACACACACCCCAAAAAAAGACCAGACTCAGTTTTCAAGAAATCCGGATAGAGGGGCTGGTGAGATGGCTCAGTGGTCTAAAGCACCTATTTGAACAAGCTTAGCAAAGCAAAGAGACCACGGTTCAATCCCCCAGCACCACATGCCAGCCAGCCGCGCCCCCTGGTGGGCTGAGCTGGACACACACACACACACACACACACACACACA